AGTGAAGAACGAATTTTGCCTTTTTTCAGGGTGGTACACAGTGGAGATGCTGGTTTGGGTAATTATTTTTTCAGGGTTGAAGTGGACTGCAGTCCTGCCACCTTTGGGGTGGGGTTGGGCCGTGTGAGAGTGTGGCGAATGTCTGTGTGTGTATGAACGGACCATCAGGGGTGTGGAGTACAGGTGAGCAGGAAGCACAGGCAGTACCTCCTAGTGTGTAATGCTATATATTCTATAATAATCTTTACATTTATATAGAGCTTTTCTAGACACCCTACTCAAAGTGGACCTACCTGGATGATGCGTCGGCAGCCAAAGTGCACCAGTACACACACCACACATCGGCAACCAGTGGGGAGGAGAGCAGAGTGATGAAGATTTGTAGATGGGGAGTAGTAGGAGGCCATGATTGGTAATGGCCAGTGGACCAGGACACCGGGGTGACACCCCTACTCTTTGCAAGAAACGCCCTGGGATTTTTAATGACCACAGAGAGTCAGGACCTCTGTTTTACATCTCATCCGAAACACGGTGTCTTTTTACAGTATAGTATCCCCATCACTATACTGGGGCATTAGGACCCACCGAGACTGCAGGGTGAGCGCCCCCTGCTGGCCCCCACTAACACCTCTTCCAGCAGCAACCTTAGTTTTCCATCCAGGGGGTTTCCCATCCTGCTACCAACCGGGCTCACACCTGCTGAGCTTCAGTGGGCTGCCAAGTGTGAGTTGCAAAGTGATCCTGGAAGACAGGGGTCATAGGTTTCTCCATGTTGAGAATTTTCCAGTGCTGTTCCGAACCCCTTTTTGGTGGAGGCGTTGCGCAGACCCCAAACATGGCGGCCCAAGAGCCGTTCCCCAGCTAATTGAAGTGACTGGCTGGCACCGTGCAGGTCCTGAGCATTGTTCTGTAACAGCTGTGAGCTGCTTGGGACAAGCAGGGAGGTTTTGTAACATCTTTTGGGATGAGATGTAGGAAGCTGTACTGTACAGTGGAATTCATGGGGCCACTCATAGGACCAGTTGGATTAAGGCACCAGGATAGTAGCTTTAAAATTTTAAATCTTATGTACTCTTTTGTAATGTACAGTCTACATTGTGCAGTAAAGAGAAGAGAGAGAGAAAACACGATTCGGCTGTGAAGCCTTCTTCAGGTGTGAGAAAGACAGGGCAGACAGCAAAGATTAAATAGCACAGAAGAACAAAAGCTGGGAGAGGGGAGGAGGCAGGAGGGGTAGAGAGGCCACTCAGGAAGGGGAAAGTGCAGAAGGGTGAAGAAAGGTGTGAAGTCAAAACCTGCATGAGCGTATTATTTTTTCATCAACAGAGGATACCCCACCCATGTTATCGATAGGGCTGTCACCTGGGTCAAAAACAGCCCTCGGTCTCACAACAGCATTTCCTTGGTGCTTCCATACCACTCTAACACACTTTCTATCCCAGGACCATTATTAACAACTACTCCGTTTTACTGGGCGATCCCTCCATCGGTACCCTTTTTTCTAACTGCCCAATTATCTCATACCGCCGACCACCCACTCTACATAAACATCTGGTTCACAGCTCCCTTGACCATGCTCGGCAATCATCCCCACCAGGCACCTTCCCCTGCGACAGAACTCTTGGCATGCCCTGGCATGCTCATTCAGGGCCCCCGAGGTCAATTCCGGATCACCCAGTAGACACACTGTATCTTCTGCAAAAAAAATGCCCAGATATCTACGTTGGGGAAACCGGAAGGAGAGTAGGAGACCACTTCAGAGAACATGTTCGAGCTAAGAAGATGAAAGATTTCTCC